CCAACAGTTCAAGATGTAGCGGTTGGATATTTTACACTACTATAAAATAAAGGACCTTTCTTAATCAGTTTGCTTAAAATTGATATCCACAGTTACTCCATGTATTAAAATGATTGCCGATTATTTTTCTTTTACTTCCTTTTTTAATTCTTCAGCCATAATGGAGAATTTTAAGGTTTCCCAGGGAGCAATATAAAAAGAAATTCTTTCCAGGCTAGCTTATTTTTGGATACTTATGCTGTAGGACTTTCGTTACCTTTTTTTCCCCTCGTGTTTACATCCCTGCTCTGTATATGTGCGAGACTGAGATTTCAAACTGAGAGCTGCGTGTTGTTTTCGTGCTTCTTTCACATGACTTTAAATTGAATAACAGTGCAAAAAGTGGGAGTTTAAAAAAAAAAACAAAACCCAACAACCTCTTTTTGCTGTTCTTTTCCTTTTTTGTCTCCCTTTTTCACTCTACTGCAATGTTGTGTTGTGTTGGTTCTTGTGTGCACCTCTTTCTTCCTTTCTGCCAACATTTGGATTTGGACGTTTCTCACCGCTCGTGTCCATATCGGCCCTTCGTCTTCCTCTCTCTCTTTTTCTTTGTCTTTCTCTCTCTCTCTCACTCTCATTCTTTCTGCTGATTGGCCCAGGTCTCCCCTTGCCCACGGATGCCGCTCCACCCACAACAGCCCAGTGCATTCGGTCTGCAGCTCCCAGAGACTGTCCCAGAACTTCTCAGTCTCTGTTCCCACACTCATCTTCACTGGTACGCAGAGGCAGGAAAGGAAATAGGTGCAGGAGAAAGGCAGGAAATCAGAAATGTAGTGTAGCAATAAAGCTATAAGATAGAGGCATCAAGGCAAAGAAGGTAGACAGACCCTTATGTCCTTAAAAATGATTTTAGTCTTGAATCCCTTCACTTCTCATTTTCTAATTACTGCGGGGTGGGCACTCGGGTTTGCAGTTGCATCAGCATTTCTGAGGAAGGGCCTGTAATCACCCTACAGTCACCTGACCTTTGCTTCACTCTACTGGGACACATGCTTCAGCTCGTCATCCTCTGTTAATCTGATCTTTTTTTGTCTGTTTTGCCATATTGCTTTCTTTAGTTTCATTTATGTGTGTGCGCGTGTGCTGTTCTTCGTCCTTACTTTTTGCTTTTCACGCTTGCTTTTGTTTTTTTGTTTTCCAGCCATGCGTAGCACCTGACAACACACCTCACCCAAAGCAAACAAGTGTCACATTAAAAAGTCACCCTCCCACTTAACAACCTCGATTCACTCTCACCCACATATGCGCACACATACAAACGCTCAGAGGGGTGCAGTGGTGACTGACGTGTGTGTGTGTGTCATGTTCTCCTGGCAGGCCGGTATTTGTTGAGGATCTGCCCTCGTCCTCCGGCCCGCCAACCCCTTTCAGAGCCCTTCCCACCTCCTCCTCTCCTCCCCCCTTCTCTCCCTCCAAGCCATGCAGCCGCCAGTCCTCATCATCAGACACAGACCTCAGTTTGACGCCCAAGACGGGTAAGAATACTTGGCCCCGTCCCTCTTTCCCATTCTCATCCCTCCCTTAACCTACACTTCATATTGGTGCTGCTGTGTGGTTTTGTTTTTCAAATTCCGTTTTTTTCAGTTCATTTTTTAAGAATATTTTAACATTATTTTCTGTTGTAAGTTTTATTATAAATATTTATTAAGCCTTGCCTCGTCTCCCACTTGTCCTCAGTGGCCTGGTGTGTCTTCTTGTTTCACACTTTGAAAAACAAAACAAAACAAAAAAAACATTTTTAATATTTGTTATATGAAACATGTGCTTCATAGCCTGAAGGCACACCAGATCTCTGTATTTGTTCCGTCCCCTTGTTGTTGTAGCTTTAGAAGCACTGTGTCTCATGGGGGCTGTTGTTGATTGAAGGTCACTTCTCCATTAGTAGTCATTATGGTTAATCATTGAGGAAGAGATAATTTTGGTAGAACTCTGCCCTAAGGACAACTTAAGCACATTTTAACGCAGGCCACTAATAAATGCCACAAAAACTGAGGAACTTTTCACCACAGCTGCCCTCCCGAGCCCTCAGGATTGGACCTACATTTTCCCCTAATCCACATTCCTCCTTTCTTTCCACTTCATTATCTTTCTTGCTCATGTTTCCTCTTCTGTGCCTCCTTTCTTTTCCTCTTAAGCCATTTTCACATGTAGATTGCAGGACTTGCCCCAAGGTAGGCTGCACGTTCAAAGACAAATGTCCAGTGCATTTAGATTGTTTCAGTCACTTAAACCAAACAAAGTACAGTGAATACGGAAAGTATTCACTGCTCTTAACTTATTCCACATTTTGTAATGTTACAGCCTTTTTCTAAAATGGTTTCAGTTCATTTTTCACCTCAAAGTTCTACCCCATGATCACAAAGTAAAGAAAGTTTGCTTGAAATTCTTGGAAATTTATTAAAAATAAAAAACAAAAATAGAACATGTAGATAACATTTCCACTGATCATCTGTCAGATGTTTCAGTTGATTGCATGTGATTTGGAAAGGCACACACCTGGTCCCGTGTGAGGTTCCATAGTTGACAGTGCATGTCAGAGCACAAAGCAAGTGAAGTCCAAGGAATTGTCTGTTGACCTCCAAAACAGGATTGTATTGAGACAGAGGTGACTGGTATAGAAAAATTACTACAGCATTGAAGTTTCTGGTGAGCACACTGGCCTCCATCATTCATTAATGGATGAAGTTGGGAGCCACCAGGACCCTTCCTAGAGCCGGCCGCCTGGCCAGTCTAAGTGATTGGGATGGAACGATCTTAGTCAGGGAGGTGACCATGAACCTGATGGTGACTCTGACAGAGCTCCAGTGTTGCTCTGTGGAGAGAGGAGGCCCTTCTGGAAGGACAACCATTTCTGCAGCAGTCCACCAATCAGGCCTGAATGGCAGTGAACAGACGGAAGGCACGTGAGAGCCAAGAGGTAACCAGCAAATCGGGTATCGCTCGACAGTGAAGCATGGAGGCAGCATTATCAAGCTGTATGATGGGATATTTTTCAGGAGCAGGAGATGAGTCATGGTCAAGAGAAAGATGAAAGCTGCAATGTACAGAAACATTCTTGATGATAAGCTGCTCCAGAGCGCTCTGGACCTCAGACTGGGGTGAAAGTTCATCTAACAATAGGACAGTGACCCTAATCACGCAGTCAAGATAACAAGGTAGTGGCTTTGGGATCAACAGGGAGCTAGATCCCAGACTTAAACCTGATTGAATCTCTGGAGAGATCGGAAACTGGCTATGCACCAAAGCTCCCCGTCCATTCTGATGGAGCTTGAGAGGTTCTGCAAAGAAGAATGATAGAAACTTCCCAAAAATAGGTGTGCCAAGCTTGTGGCATCATACTCAAAGTTTTGCAGAGAAAAATGAATTTAATCAATTTTTGGAATAAGGCTGTAACATGGCAAACTGTTACAGCTGTGAATACTTTTTGGGTGCACTGTATAGCTAAGTCTTTAGGATTTAACACTTTCAATAAGATTTGACTGAGTTGTAGACTTTTAAGCTTTAATTCAAGGTATTTGACAAAGTTATTGCATTAACTTGTTAGGAATTACAGACAATTGTTTACATAGTCCATTACATCCAATTTCAGAGGAATGTTCTTTTATTATTCCATGATAATAAAAAGCAGATAATTTAAAAGATGATTTAAAAGCAGATAAAAAAAAATCTAGGGCTGATTCCAAGTTTAGAGCTTGCATTTAGTAGCTGACCTCAATATGAGATCAAGAGATGTATAAATACAAGTTAAAGTGCTCATCATTTGGCTGAAAGACCAAAAGAAAACAAAGAGCATCAGCTTTAAGGATCAACATTCTGGTGTATTCTTAAAAAGAAGAAATGAACTAGCCAGTTCAGCAACATCGAAAGGCTTGAAAAACCACAGAAGACAAGTAAAGTCCACTATAACAGAATTATTTCCATGTTTAGGAAAAACAGCTTCACATCTAACCGAGTGAAGAGCACTTTTGGTAAAGTTGGAACAATCAACGAGATGCCTAAACTGAGGTTTCCGCAGGTCGTGACAGGAAGGCCAGATAAGACCGCCAGGAAACATCTAGAAGCGCCTTCACAGTTCTAGAAATATCTTTGGACAGATTGAAACCAAGATCAACTTGTACCATAATGATGGGAAGATAAAATTATGGAGAGCAAGAGAAATGACTCATGATCAGGAGCATTGATTGTCTGGAGTTCATGTGTGAAAATGGCTTTTGCTTCCCATCATTCTTCAGCATTTTTCCTTTTTTATCTCTCCTTACAACCAGTACATGCAGTGCACATTTGATAACTGTCATTAAATTATTTGAATTGAAAGTATCTTTTGGGTTCTGCAACACTGAAAGTCATCAGTCTGTAGTTAGCATGCTAATTTAATTAAAATGTGGACCAGCCATGTAATGTATTGACAGCTGATCCGCTCACCAAGGTCAGTATCAGTGCAATGCCCAGCTTACTTAATACTAGCTACCTACTTTGCATAGTTCATTTCTCTATGCTTGTGTCCACTTTCCTCCTCATCCTACTCTTCTCCATCTTCTCAGTTGTTGTGCTTCTACCTACTCTCTTCATTGCTCTCTGCCTATCCATTCTCAATATATCTGTTTTCTTTATGCACCCTCCATCTGTTTCTCTGCTGTTGGATAGAGGAGCCCCATTCAGTGAGATGCAGACCTGGGATCTTCCTCTGCCCCAGCTCCCCCATCCTTTCCACAGACACTCTGTCCCTTCCTGGTTCTGGCTCAGTGGGCTGTGGTCGTGGCTCTAACCCCAGGGCACCCACCTCAGCCCCACTCTCCTCCATCCAGTCAGACTCTGCCTTGCTGAGAAAGAGCGTGTCCTTCACTGAGGACCTGCTGCTGGCAGCCTCCGGTATAGTAGGCCTGCTGTGTGTCACCGAGTGCCAGAACCTTATAACAGTGAAGTGTCGGCATCTCACTCATTTAATGGGTCAACAGCAGGACTGTTCACACCCAAATTGTCTTGACTGGTTTTGTCAGAAACACTCACTGCTCACAGTCCACAACACTACTGTGAGAGTCCTATTCTGAATACCTTAACTCCCAGCATGTGGTTTGATGTATTTTCTAGTGCACTAAATGATCAGAATAAGTTAGTCTGAGGTTCATGAGGCTGAAGATCATTAGGGTTTTTTTTCGTCCAAGTTCAACTTTGTTTTAACATGAATGCTGCAATGTAATAATCACCTGACAGTTTGTTTGTCTTTGTGTTCGGCTGACTTTTGTGTTTAAAATGACAAAACTGAAGCCAGGCTCTCCTCTGTGATCAGGAATGGGCAGTGGAGGCAGCGCCGGGAAGGAGGCGGGACCTCTGAGGACCCTCCTCAGACAACAGACACAGACAGCTCTTGAGCAGCGGGTACGGTGACAATAGTGTCACTCATCGTCCACGCTTACAAACAATTAATTACTAGCTCACTACTGGTGCAGACACCTGAGACTGAAATGCAATGTCACAGCTGGCGAGCCATTTTGGAGAGTTGAGGGTTTGACATTTGTGTTGGCGTTGCATATCAGCCTCAGATCTCTGTGCAAATGGTGAGTTTTAACACAGGTGCATTCTTTGTGACAAATTCATAACTGACATTGGAGAGGTGTTTAATGGGGATCGGTCTGTGTAAGACCAAGTAATGTTCCATTTTTTGTGTCTCGACCACTTATGCTATTCAGGGAGCGTCTTCCTCTGGGTTATTGTTAAACGCCAGGGTATGTCCCATCAGTGTGACACCTTCTCACTCTCCACCTTTCCCTTGAAACCCTAACCAAGCGGATGGCCACCACCTAGCTTGAGTCAACTCCTAACCTAGCTCTTTTTTTTTTTTTTATTGCTCTGCACCCTACAAACCCTAAAAGATTGACAAACATGTAAGGCAGAGTGCCTGAGGTTAGGAGTTGTGCTCCCTTCTTGTTCGAAGGGGTGTGTTTGAGACTGTTCGTGTTTCGTCTGGATATTCATCTCAAGTGCCTCCCTCCTTCCAGAAAAATTTCCTGAGTTTGACTTTTGGTTTCCCGTATCAAAAACAGGAATGAGCATACTCATCTCATCAGCTCATTCTTGTGACCTGGCTCAGAGTGGGAGGAGCTGTCAGACAAATTGGAAGACATCTTCCTTTTGTGGAGTAGTGGATACGATTGAAATTTGTGGCATTCCCACCTGATTTCTGATCACTGAAGCCATCCATCACATACTGGTCCTGCATGGCTGGGAATCACTACGTCCCTCTGCTTTTCTGTAAGAGTGTCTCTTCAACTAAGAATGAATACCAGCAGACTTTGTTTCCTGCTCCTCGTGTGAGTGAATGCATGGATTTGCATCACATTACTTGGATAGAGACAGAAGACCAGCTGTGTTCTTAGTGGGCAGAGACAAGCATGTAAATCAGAGTAATGATTCACAGCCGCAAACTACTTTGTCTGTCTTTGTCCTTCACTTTCAGCTCCAGACCTAATGAATGCATGTGTATACGGTAGACTCAAAAGGATTCAATCACTACATCAGTGACACTAAATACCTAGGCTTTCATAGATGTTTTTCTCAATCATTTCCAGCTGTATTTGAAATGCTTTTGAGTTTTATTCCTACACGGGTAGGCTGTAGTGGGGAATCTCAGTGGACAAAACCTGCATGGGGGGCTCATCACACTCTGTCCTTGGTGCATGTTTCCACTTATCCTATACCTGCTGTAACTTAAGTCTACATGCATCATGTTTTAGACTTTAAAAACAGTTTTGATTGATAATCACCTGCTTCAGTGTGTGTTGGAAGAGGAAAAAATGTTAAGTTTGATATCTGGTTCTGCTTTAGGATTTCCCAATTTCTCAGTTTTTGCATAGAATTGATACTGTGAGGTTTCTGGGGTTGAAGCCTTTAAAAATATAGGATGATCTCTATTCAAAGTATTTACTAATTAATTTTTTTGTTATGCAATATAAAGATCTTATTAGTATAGTACTGTAGTGTGCAAAGGTCTTGAGCTAGCCCTTGTTTTTTGTTTTTTTGTTTTTTTTTCTGTTTTTTGTTTTTTGTTTAAGCTAAATTACGTCCAAGCAGGAAGTAGGTGGTTTTGAGCAGTAGTTCTCCAGTGTTCTGAAAGTCTTTCTAGGTTTTTTGAGTTACATGTTGGCTGCTTTTTCATTCATTTTCAGTCCAGTCCTTGTACAGGACTAATGGAGTTGTACTGTGACAGTTTTTCTTATTGTTTTTGTCAAGCCACTAAAAACTGATGTCTTAATCATGCAAGCATAAAAAGGAATTTAACCTAGCAATGTCTGCAGATTACAGTCAACTTGGCAAAGAAACATTTTTAAGTTGTATCTTTAGGGACTTTTTTACTAGCACACTTTGTTCCCTTTTATTTAGTTGACTCTATGAAAAATTGCAAATGTAACATGATTAGACAGATGTATTTTTGCACCAACAAGGTGATTCTCAAAGAGCTATTAGCTGAGAACTCAACTCAGTCTCAGCATGTTGTGCAGAGTTTACTTACAAAAAATTGAGAGAAATGGACAAGTGGAAGAGAAAAGAAGTAGTAGGCCTAAAAACCCGTCTGCACCAGATGAACAGTAATTGAAATTCATATATTAAAAATAGGAAATAAAATCCAGCAAAGACCTGACACAGGACCTCGCTACATTAGCAGTGATTCCAAACACAAAAGAGTTAAAAGCATACATGGATAAAAAAAAAAAGACATGAAGTGAAACATTAACATGTGAATGTTCTTTAAGAAGCCTGGAGAACTTTTCCTGAAGACTACTGAGAAGGACGCTTGGCTGAAAGACTTCACACTTTAGTGAAGATTAAAAGGGGTCCTTCCGAATGTTGCCCTTTCAGGCTAGTTAGAATTGTAAAAACTGTTTTTGCCTTATGTACTGTATTTCATTTATGTTTGTAGAATTCCCATTTTCTTGGTAAAATATAAAGAAATATAGGCTGACTCAAGACTTTTGCCCACTACTGTAGGTGTTGTATCTTATAGTGGTGTTTTAACCACCTACCTAACGCAGAACAAATTAGCCTTGTCAGCAAAAAGTAAATATTTGAACTCAGTTTTGAGTTGAGAACTTAATATTCACCAATGTATAAGTAAACATGAGACACAAAAATACTGGAAAGGCCCTTTCTGTAAGTGACCAGTGTGTGTGCTTTTTTTTAAAATTAAATGTGTAGGAGTTCCCCTTCTTCACCTTGACGTCGTTCCCGCCTGGTTTTCTGCTTCATGTTGGTGGAGTGGTCAGCGCTCGATCTGTCAAATTACTGGATCGGATACACAACCCCGGTGAGTTCAACACACAAAAGCACACAAGTTCATAACGTAGCTCGCCCATCGCGCCGTGAAAAGATAAGAGTGAGCTTTTTCCATTGACCCTACAGTGTTGTGTGTGTTTGATCTCGTTGCAAACGGCTGTTAGTCAATGCTACCCATTATCCTCTTGTGTTGCCAAATTTTTCCAGTGTATGGTCCTACTCCCAATTTGTTTGCAAAGGAAAAAAAAACCCAATAAGTTGACGGTCAGACTTAAGTTTATCTGCAAGTCCTGTAGGTAGCAGGTGAAAGCTGTTCCTGGTCACGCCGATAGGCTGCGTCTGCAGTAGTTTGTTCTAAACTTTAGGATGGGCTATCATCACATGTGTCAAACATTTTTATGGATAGGGGCAACTTTCACCTTGTCGTTTGACTCACTGGCTTTATGTAATTAATAGTCTGTGCTGGTCATGTGGTGGCTCTGTGTGTGTGTGCCTGTGCTGTGGTTGCTGTGTTGTTGTCGTGCAGTGCTGCCCCCTGGGGCTGAATTGCAGTAGTGGCGCATGGCTCCAGTGTTTTGCCTGCTACTTCTGTTGTGTGTGTGTGGTTGGCTGTAGGTGGCAACATATCTAGGTGCTGTGGTGTCTTGCTTAAGCTCTGCCAGCCTTTTTCTGTCTTTATTGAACTCACTGTGTTGAATCTGTTCTTGTGTTAAGAGGGGCATAATAAATACACCTTCAAATGAGATTTACAGACATTTGCTCCTCAAGTGATCACCTGCCTGTTAACAGTGTTGGAATACCTGAGTCCAGTTTATAGACTTAGTAGTTTTACCTTTTAGCTCAGTTTACTAATAGCCTACCAATACGAATGAAGGATGTCTGAGAATCTAATCAAAGGGGAGTGTTGATGAATGTGGGCTGGGTTAGGATAAGCAGGGCTCTTGTCAGAAGTGGACAGGGGAACTAAAATAAGACTGTAAAAAAAAAAAAGGTGCTGTGATTAAACCAGCAGTCTTGTCTAAATTAGACTCAATGACCCTGATCGAAACTCCAGGATTAACTTGGAAAGCAGTCTGAAAAGAGCCCTGTTCACTGTTGCCTTTCTACTACAGAAAAACATCAAAGGTACCCTGTGGAGTTTTTCTTCAAAAATAGCACCGGGGAGCGATATTTGCAATAAGTGCATTACTTTTGTAGCTTGTTTTACTTCGACAATAACAACAATAACTTAACAGTTATGCTCTGCTTAACTCGGGCTTGATCTGCTTGTTATTAGCAAAATACATTAGCTAATGCATGTAAAATCACTTCATGTAATGTTTTATAAATGCATCCAAGGCCGACATTGTTGAATCACTGCAGCTAAATGTTGGCAACCCAGATGACTTCTATCACTCACTCAGGTTGGTCGGCCTGCTCCAGACTGGCACCGTTTGAACCTGATGACTGATGATTTAAAATCGGGGCATTTACAGTAAGAACATGCCCGGAGCATTATGATGAGACGCATTCGTTTTTGTTTACGTGAAAACTCCACAGTGCGCCTACATGTACTTACAGTCGCTGCATGCTCCTTTTTGTGTTGTAGAGCTTCTCTTCTCGTTATGTTAAAAACAAAATAAGTAAATATAGCCTGACGCTTTTACTCATCTCAGTTCTCCTCTCTTCCTCATCAGTCTTTTTCTTCTCTGTCAGATTGTTTCAATAGGACTTAACTTAGTTTGTCGTCGCATTAGTGACTGTGAAGTGGTGTCTGTCTTTGCATAGTGATTGTGGAGTGCTTCTGTTGTGCTGTGTCGGTTTGTTAGACTGTCTCTTCTTTTCTTTTTCTCTCTTTTCTGTACTAACGGTGTGTTCTGGCCCAGCCTTGGGTAACACGCGCTCATACAAACTGCTAGACTGGAATAGTGTCACTGCAGGTATTTTTCCCCCTTTTAATGCTCTCACCCACAGGAATGATGGCAGCTCAATGAAATTAAACCCATGTCTGCTTAGTGTTAAAATATAACGCCCCCATAGGAAGCTTAAGTAGAATTCAGCATAGCCTCATATTGCTGAAAACTTCTGACTTCAGTGAGCTGCCATCTTCCTCTCTCTAATTTGTGTGTTTGCGTGTGTGTGTGCTGAGTTGAGTTGAGCATGCCCTGTGTCCCCACCCCACCCCATCCAGCCTGGCCTGGCTACCCCACACCCAGCTCATCCTGCTGCACAGAAGAGCTCCTGCTCTTCACTAACGTTGTCCCAGCGCTGTTTCTAACGCTTCCCGAATGAACATTGTGGTCAAACCTGTCTAGACCAGAGGAGGTTTAGGAGGTTTACTCTGTCACAAAGAGCCACTGAGGCATGTGCATCCTTAACTCACTGGGCCGTATTCATACTGAGAGAAAGAACGCGAAAGAGAGAGAAAAGTGATGAATGGATGCATGGAAAGAAGTCGTTGGGGGGCGCAGTTGAGGAAAATTAACTGGATCTGGGACTTTACGGTGGGGATGGAGGGAAAGAGGTGAGCTGACTTAAATAATGGAGTAGATTTGATGGACTCTAGTGAATGAATATGGCCCTTCTCCGCCCATGACTGTGCACATGGTCATGAGTGTGCACGTTGGTGAGCCTGTGCCTGTTTGACATAACTGCTTCTGGTTTAAAGAAACCCACCTCGTGGGCCTAATGCCTGACCATCAGTCATTGTTCTTCATCTCTTCAGTTTCACAGCTCATTCTTCTCATCCCCTCATTCATTCCTCTCCCCTGTCTCACCTACCATTTGAGTTTCTCTCTGTATTTGGGAGGCTCTGTCAGCATGTAGCTCTCCCAGGGAATCATGGGGTGAAGCTCAATACTCTAATGTAGCTTTTTTTTGGTCATGTCCTCTTTGTTCAACAGCCTAAAACAACCATATGAGTCAGATTAAGCTCTCAATTTGCAATGATTTGGCTTTAAAGAAAAAGATGTTTGGAGCAAAGCCTCATGAGAATATTGAAACACACCCATGGTTTAGCATAAGTATGATGAAGGCTCGATCGCTTTAAAATGACTAGCTTTGTCACCAGGATAGGAAAGCACGTTTAAAATCAGGCGTAGTGTCTTCTCTTATACCAGATTTTCTATCTATACTAGCACAGCCACATAATGGCTGGTGGCTGTGTCCTTTCTGTTAGTGCAGCTGGCTGAAAGGAGACAAAGAGAAGGGAGACATGAACATTTATATGATGTCCACTAATGAACTAATCTTGTCTGACCATTGACTCTGCCTTCATCATCATCATCTTTCTGAAATTCTCACAAACCATTTTCAGTGTCAGTTTGTTTTACAAAATCACAGTTGGTTTTGGCCTGCTTTGATACACTGTTTAACCCATAAAACATCAGAAAATACAAACTGTAATGTTGGCTGTTTGTTGATTTTCTGGTAAGTCAAAGCAGTCAGATTAGGCACCGGATTATGCACAGATTTCCTGTTAGTGTTGTCTGGATTTGTGAGGGTACTGCATTTTTAACCTATATTTTAGTGTTCAGTGAGGTGTTTTGATAAATAATTCAGTTAGAAATGCCTTGTGAAGGCTGTTTGATTTAGAATTGTGTGTTTCGCAGATGAGCCCGAGACTCGCGATGCCTGGTGGGAGGAGATTCGCCAGGAGATCAAATCTCATGCCAGAGCTCTCGGGTGCCATGCGGTTGTAGGGTACAGTGAGAGCACAAGCATCTGGTATGTACTGCGTAAACACACAGAAAAGTGATGCACTTTAATCCCGAGTTTGGTTCAAAACACTTGGATCCTTGTGATTTCTCTCTTTGTGTCCTGCTCTCATTGTGCCTTCTTGTTTTTCTCTTTTCATTTCTCCCATTGGCTCAAAACAGCGAGGAGGTGTGTATTCTGTCCGCATCTGGCACAGCAGCCATCTTGAATCCTCGGTACATGCGTGAAGGCTGCCTGGACATCGGCTGCACCGACCACAGGTTGGTTTCTTTTTTCCTTATTGTTCAGCTCAAAGTCTCGGACAGTCTGAATGTCAGTCATCACATGTTTAGGACAACGCACCTTTTTGGTTTTTGTTGTTCTCCAGGTTTGAGGAGCCATCGCCACCGAACTGTGGCTTCTGTCACATCCCGTACGATGAGCTCAACATGCCCTTTCCTGCACAGCTCACCTATTGTTACCACTGTAGACGACAAAAGGTATCAAATACAGTTAATTTCTTTTTAGGTTAAATAGAAGGTCTCTGCTCTTTAAAAATATCAACAACTACTGCCTTTTTTGTAAGGTTCCTGATGTGCTCTTCACAACAATTGACCTGCCATCAGAAGCAGCTGTTGCAGGAAAGGGCTGCCTTATCCAGGCCAGGTATAACACCTCACAAACCCACAAACCCTTCTTGATATTAGCTTAGGGAAAAATACACACACACAACTCAAATCTATAAAAGTAAAGAATATTACAAGCATTTCACTCTATAATCTAGCTATAAATTATAACTTTTACAGTAGATATTTCAGAGAACATAATTTATAATACCCAATATTCTTCAGTGGTAGCATGTGGGCTAAACAATACACCTCAGAAGATGCATTTTGACATCAAAGGAAGTGATCAAAGTGAGCAATTTTGACCAATCAAAACCATCAATTTTAGACCTCAATTGGGTTCAGTCAAGCAGGTTTTCTATGAGTGGATCAATGCACCTTCAATGCCAGTGCCTCTTGTCTGTCAGGCTGTGTCGTCTAAAGAAGAAAGCCCAGGGAGAAGCAAATGCAACGGCCATCTCTAACCTGCTGCCTTTCATGGAATATGAGCTACACACTCAGCTGATGAATAAGCTGAAACTGCGGAGCATGAACGCGCTGTTTGGCCTGCACATACAGATCAGTGTTGGCGAGAACATGCTCCTGGGTCTGGCTGTAGGTTAACCTTTCATGCTAACAAGTGATTATGTCACTTTTATGTGTGGTGGATCTTAATTGAAGTAAACGTGTGTGTGTGTTCAGTCTGCTACAGGTGTGTACCTGACAGCTCTGCCTGCTCCAGGGGGTATCCAGATAGCAGGGAAGACTCCAGGAGATTTGAGCAGCGAGCATATATCATCCATTCAGAAAAGGATTAATGACACCATAGCTGCGAACAAAGAGCTCTATCAAATAAATCCTCCGGTGAGACAGTCAACACTTGCTGATACAGTGAACTTATGGAAGCTGATCTTTGTGATAAAGCCTGAAAAGTCTCACCGTTCAGGGCAGGTTTGTGGTAATGTAGGTGTGTTTCCAACTGCAGTAGCGGAGGTGTCATGTATGACGCCTTTTAGCACAACAGAACTAAAAAAGTTTAAATTTATGATGTTCAGACATGGTAAAAACTTACCCTGATGAATACGCTATAACATCACTGTTTGTGGTCATTTTATACTGCAACAAGTGGGAACAGTTTTCACATTTTTTTCTACTTTGAAAGAAAAAATATCTACGGTCTATGACCAAGAATATTAAAGACTAGTGCATTGTCATCAGGCTTTTACATTGTATGGACAATACTAGTGTTTTCCATTATTTTGCTGTTATTTTACAGTGTTAAAAAACATTTTATGAGACATACTATACAGTCCAGACTATAGTTATGTGGACAGTTACCTTTTTATTTTGTTCTCCAAGCTTTGTTGATTGGATACAACATTAAAGGGTCAAGATTTACAAAGATTCAAAGTACCCGGACAACTGGAAACTGTTTCTTGGGTGGACTGTGTGTCATGGCTCAGAGCTGACTATCAAGACTTAACCTTCAGTTACAAGTAGAAGTTATGTGTCATTAAATGAGAAGAGAGGAATTGAACATGAAAGAGAAAGAGCTCCATGTTGGTATTTGTTTTCCAGAAAATCGTTGGCATGGTGAAGGAAAAAAAAACTTGAAAGCCAGAAATGCTTCACAAGTACATAACTTGTTCTCACCTTTTAAAGGAAGAATTTGTGACCAGATTAATTCATGATTAAAGGATTTACCAGAAGAACAAAGGGGCCAAGTCATATGTGTATATATATCTAGATAGATAGATATATCTTTTGACTTAAAGCCCCTTCTCTGTTATTGTTTCAGCTAGAGCAGGGCGATATGACCAAAAATATTTATCACGATATACATTTGAAAATTTGCGATAACGATATGACTGACAATATAATTGACACTAGACAAAATACTTTACAACTCCACAACTTTATTAGTGCAAAAAACCCCATCAATGTATTTTCACTTAAACAAGCAGCTGTTTTTTATGTGCATTAAAGTTATATAAAAATGTAACAGTGCAAATTCCTTGCTGACAGTTTAACCAAAAGGCATTTCCAGTGGAAATTGGCCAACATATCCTCAGCATAACCATGTATAATATCCACAAAACTCAAAAAGAGGTTATACACACAATACGATAATATTATGTTGAAGCACAGTACGTATCACTCCGCGAGGCGCCTGCCTAATATAGCCGTAATGCTCCGACAATCCATCAAGCCGTGCGGCGTCGTACTAAAACATTTGACAGATTTTCGAGCGCCGTGTACCACATAAAATCGTTTCAAGGTCAGTAAACACAACCAGAATTCATACATAAGGCACACGGGATTATAAGGCGCACTGTCGATTTTCAGAAAAATAAAAGGATTGATTTTAAGTGTGCTGTATTTTCCAAACAACACGGTAATAACGATGGCCCGTTAGCATGCTCTACCAAAAATAGTGCTTTGTTGTGTATCTGACGGACGAAAGCCAAACCAGTTCCACACCACTGAAGTTGCAGAATTTTTACAAACCAATTCTGGTTCATCCGTTTCATTCAACGATCTGCTTTCGCCCTTCTTATTCTCCGTCGCCGCCATGTGCATATGTAAACATAGGCACTGCGCATGCGCGTTTTACCCATATTCTATCGCGATATTTCATTTTCCTATCGTTGCCCAAAATTACACCGGTATTACCGTGAACGGTATGATATAGCCCAGCCCTAGTTTCAGCCCATATGGCTGTTTGCTAATGTCATATTGCTAGTTGTTAATTAATTCACTGCTGAAAAAACGCATAGGGATGAGTGTGCAGGTGTGCACTGTAGGTGAATTCTCTAGATGCAAATGGTCGTCAGGCACATAGCCGAAGCAACCAAAGAGCCTTCCAGGGTGAAGAAGTGAGCTGTCCTTCAATCGCTGTGTTAATCACTTGAGCCAAATCTGTTTGAGACCTGTTCAACTTGCTGAAGGTCAGATTAAAGAAAAAGTCCCTAAACTTTGTCTGCCGTGCATCAGAAGCAGTCCTTTCCATACTGATGCACAAGTGAAATCTAAGACTTGACACTTTAATGTAGTACATGTCATCTTATTTAAATCCCCTGTGCTGAAGCTGAACAACTTCTAACTGTCCATATATGCCTGGGCTGTATATTCTGTTCTTTGTGAATCGTGATAAACTTACCCCTCTTGTCTCTCTCTGATCATTAAAGAAATTATTTGCCCTGGACCCTGAGGTGTTCTGCGGCATAAACATGGTACTGAGCATGCCAACCTTTAGCTGTGAGACGCAGCAAAGCATGACAAGTGTTTCACACTATTAATCTCACACTATTAATTGCAGCTCTTAACTGGGGACTTTTTTTGTGTGTGGGGATAATACATAACCCACACCAGAGTCACCTCTTCAGATGACTCACTGCAAAGTCATTTTATAAGTTGTTAACGTACTTTGATTATGTCCATCTCCCCTGACCAATCACACTCTCCCCTGCATATATATTTGTGTGTGTGTGTGTGCGAGTGTGCGTTTTCCCAAATTAACACCAACCATGAGTGCGTGTCAGTAAAGTTGACTGGGTGAGTGAGAGCATGTGGATTGTTACTAACACAGTCATTCTACTAGTTACTGTACAGATGTTAGATACAGATGTGATCTTCTGCGGTGTTCTGGTTATCTCTCTGACGTCCCGTCTGCTCGGCTGCTGCCTCTGTTTTGCTTGCAGGAGCTTGCAGAGGAAGGGGTGGGCTCTCCAATCCCTGAGCCAAGGCATCGATCCAGACTTTTTCGCTCCCACTCGGAAAGCTCAGACGAGCTATCAGAACTGGATCTGTCCCACGGCAAAAAGGATGCCTTCGTCCTGGAGGTGTGTATCTGTACAAATCAAATCAATACACGCCAGTTGTAAATGGTGACAATGTTTGATCACTCCTATAGATTGATGACACCGATGCCGTGGAGGATATCCACTCCCTCCTGATCGATGCACCTCCCCCCTCAGGTACATGCTGCACACTCACTCTGGTTCAGTTACAATGGATCGTTATGCACTGCACACAAGTTAATAGTTCAGTCCAAGCTCTAGCAGGTGCCAGTGTTTCTGTGCTTCATTGCATCTGCTTCAATGTCTTCAGGTTTCTACAGCTGCAACACTGAAAATATGCCTGGGATTTCTAACTGGACTTCAGGAGTACAGGTACGTACTGAACGTAGTTGTAGCAATACTAACCATTATTGCAGAATAATTTTTTTAAAAATAAATACAATTAAGTATTAATTTAAATCTGTGTCATCCTTTATTTTGACAGATGTTTACATCAGTGAGGGTTTTGAGGTTGAGCAATGCCAATCTTACTAACCAAGGCTTAAACAAGATCTTTACTGACCTCTGTGAGAACCTGCTGAAGGTAAGAAACCATCATGGAGCAGGTTTCACACTGGCACTGTTTTTTTTTGGGGGGGGGGGTTTCTTAGTTGAACTTGCTGTGGTTGTCTGTGTTTAGATTTGGGTTTTACAAGTCTACAATTCATCATGTTTGTTTCAGAGTTTTTACTTCAAGCTGCGCTCTATGATCCCCTGCTGTCTTTGTCATCTCAACTTCACCGTAGCAGTGCCAGAAGAAGAGCTCATACAGGTGAGACAATTCAGGCCATCACTCATTTGTCAAGCTGCCAGAGCAGTGAATGTAATTGAGAGAAAAAAGTTTTATCTACTGCTGTTCCTCTGCTCATCTCCCTGCGCAGGTCACAGTGACAGCCGTTGCCATGACCTATGACAAGGAACAGACTCAGGAGAGGACAGCTGAGAAGCCCGTCAACAAAGGTCAGTCTCTCTGTGCATTTTACTTCAGTTAAAGCTCTGCTCAGATGAAGGAAAGCTTTCACGTCCAGTTTAATACACTCAGTACTCATCAGTGAAGGAAAAAAAAAAATTCAAGCTGTATTTATGAAGTGAGCCACTACTTGACTCCAAATAATGCAATAACTCAGCTTAGGTAAGTTGATATCAATATTGAGCAAAGCTGAGAATTATTGCATGATTATTAGGGAAGTAGGAAAACAAATATTCTTTTAGGATCTAAGCCAGGATATCAAACTCATTTTACACGATAGGCAAATGTTTGACACCCCTGCTCTAAACAGTATATTGCTTTTAAGAAACATCCCTGCTAGTGCTGTGTGTGTATCTTTTTAGGGAGCCTTGAGGTTGAAGACCAGCTGCAGTTTCCCCTGGAATTGTGTGCAGACTCGTCCTCTTCCAACATTCAGACGGCATCCAAAATCTCAGGTATCTTTAACTGTATTTTTACCTCCCTTACCTCATCCGTTACCCTGCTTCACTAAACAGGTATCACCCATCTCGTCCACTAACACATCAGATACAGTCTCTTTATTCACCCCAGCTGCAAAGCTCTGCCAAAACCAGCTGCTTATAGTCCGATCAGCAGGTAAATGAACTGTAGTAGACAAGTGAGAGTTTGTTTTGCCGTGAACTTAGATAACAGTCTGTGACGCTGTCTAGAAGAGACTTTGTGTTGGTGACCCCCATTTGCATTAGGCTAACACAGCCATGGTATAATGGGGTGGGGGTGATGGTTAAAGCTAGGCAGCGCCTGCTGTGTTTGCCTTGTGGCAGTAATCGGTTGTTGCTGAACTTTTCTCGCCTTCTGACAAGGACAAAGTTAGACTGTGTGTGTGTGTGTGTGTGTGTGTGTGTGTGTGTGTGTGTGTGTGTGTGTGTGACAGGTGTCGGAGAAAGTACCAACATGTCACCCAGAGGTAAGCTACCTTCTTGTCCTTTATTTCCCCCGCCCCTTCTCCCGCTACCGAAACTACTACACTGCCCTGTTTTGACTTTTCATCCTTTAGTCTCGGACAGAGTTATCCTGCACAGCTCCCAACCCTCATCCAGTTTTGTTCTTTTCTATTCGTTTGTTTTGTGTTCTGTTTTGTCTTTTCGTTTTCTTTTCTTGTTGTTGTTGTTGTTG